CAAATAAATCATTCATACAAATACCGTTCACAGAATACACAGAATGCTAGAGCAGCTCCACAAAAATAGGAGGCCTGAGTTTGTTTGTGTGTGAGAGGAAAGAGTGGGCAGCGTCTGGAATGGAATGAAGAGAGGAGGCTGGAGCACTGCCAGTGTTTCACATGGACGACAGTCTGACATACAAGAGAGATTAAAGACAGAAATAAAAAAGAGCTCTGTTGTCATGTGAGTGCTGGCGAGGTTCTCATGAGAACTCAAATCACGTGCCAAAATGAGCACTCCTGCCCCCCTGTGGAGAACACATTAAAAGCAGCAGATCACCCCCACCACCACCACTTTATGTCCCTTAGAAGATGAAAATTATTGTACAACTCAATGTCAACTGGTAAAAATAAATAAATAATCAATAAATAATGAATTAATTTTATATATATATATATATATATATATATATATATATATATATATATATATATATATATCATATAACATTTATTACCACTTTAAACAACAAAACTAAAGAAAAAATAAGCAAACCTGCTATGCATATGCATTGAGATCCGCCACAAAAATAATGGTCCACTTTTATCATCTGTAATTATGCACTGTGTGTCTTCAATACGGACTGACAATAGTTTTTAATGTCAAAAAGGGTTATAAACACCAAGAATAACTGAAAAAATAACTGCAAGAAAAGTTAATAAAACCTTTATGATTATAAAAACAGGATAATATTTGCATTGAGATCTTTGCATCTGCAGCATTGATTACATAAAGCACAAGTTCTACCCAAAATTAGAAGCCATCTGCTTCAGGAGCTCACAGAGAAATGACAGCTGTGTGTGTCACAGGTCTCAAATATAGGACGGCTCTGTAACATGGCAAACGTGTTGACCTAAACTGACCCCAAGTACTGCCAAAGAACCAACGGGCAAACACACAGAGTGATTTTGACAGCCTTTAAGATAACATTTGGAGCTCGACTTTTTGAATTGGTCTTTTAATACCTTTATACACATTTGATTACACTTTTATTTGTGTAATGTTGTGGATTGAGATTTGTAAAGACCTGCAAGGTTAAAAAAGATAAAGTCCACTGCAAAGGAAGTTGTTCTTTGTCAATAGGAGCTGTTCCTCAAATATATCCTTCCATGTCACAATATCCTGAATTTAAATAATTCTGCCTAAAGCATCCTGATGGGGGAAAGTTTGGCTGATTGTCTTGGTGTAATAATCAGGCTGATTTTGATCTAATTTCTCCCCTTCGGACTGTCCTAGGTAATGTCCTGATTATCTTGTTGATTCTAAGTGAAGTTTCACAAACTAATTTCTAGAGGAGCATGTGATATAATTGATCGCAGCTTGTCTCCCATCAGTAATCATTAGAAGCCAATCGGATAAATACAAACTCACTATAAATAGCCCATCTAGTATAACTCCTTTTACTTTTTTTTTTTTTTTGAAGAATCCTCCCATCCACCCCATCTCCCCCTCTTCCTCCTTTAAAAGGGGGAGTTCTCGAAAACTACCTGATCTTGTACCCCCTTATAGGCTCATCGACCAGGCAGGAGCCCTGGGCTCAATTATCTCCAAGCTCAGGGTTCTGTCCTGGGACAGCATATCTAACATGCTAATGTTATTAATATCTAAGTGCGAACTCTTGAAAGATTATTATGAGATTTTCCTGGTATGTGCGGTGTGCTAAGATTGACTTGATCTGCTCATAAATAAGTCGGAACATTACAATCACAAATCATAATTATTCAACATGTTGAATGGATTGCGATCAGAACACATCCAATCATGATGTGTGAGGGGAAGAACAAATGTGTATGTGTATATCACATAAAACAAAACAATATCCAATCAGAACGCAAGCTGACAAAAAGATGGAAGCATAACAACTGTCATGATGCAGCAACAAGTGAACTGGATTTGGACAGCAGAGATAGAGGATCAGCTTGTTGATTTGTGGCAACAGTAGGAATAAATTTTACCTGACAGCATGTTTATTCTTAAATTTTGAGGTTATGCGAGATTTTCTGTCTTCAAATTAAAATCCATAGGTGTGCGGTCTTTGTCACATCACAGAACACCACTTATTTAAGAGCAAAACTGTGAAGTCTAGAAGTGTTTTGTCATTATGTTTATAGTCTATAATCTTTTGAAAATGTCTTAAGATTTAAACGATTTTTAGAGTGTACCCAGGTGAAGGGGTGAAGAGATGGGCTATATCCAAAATTGCATAATACTCAGTAAGTACTGCATTTGAATTTAATTTTACTACTCAACTGTTAGAAAAGTAAGTTCTATACAGTATGAATTTGAGCTGTATGAATGGAACTCGGACGTACTATATTCGTCATGACCTTGTGACTTACCCACGTCAAACTTCTCTATCAAAATTAAAAGAGAGTGAATAGAATATACTGCTACATTTGCACCGACTGTAATAATGTGTGATCTGATTCTAAATAAGATTCTCAGAATAATTTCATTCGTATCTTAATATTTAGATTTGCACTTGAGGTTTTTGATTAACGAATGCTGTCATCAAACTGTTTATATCCATACCTCAAGAGTAAATGTAGCTGGAATCGTGCAGTGCATGTAAACAAGATCGGAAGCCAACAATGGAATCCAAAATTCTGAATAGTGCTGTTATATAAACATAAGCCATAAAATCATGCTCCATGCAGTCCTCAAAACCAAAGGCACCATCTAGCCTGGTAAAGCATTCAATTAATGATACTTTTAAACAGATTTATGTTTTGATTAAAGGCCAAAGGTTAATACCACCCGTTCATGTTCAAGGGATAGAAATATTTGAGTTGTCTGAAGCCAAGCAGTGACCCACATCAGAGAGAGCAAACAAAAAACAAACCCTGCAAAACAACATCTCTGACCCAGTGCAGTCCAAATGCAATCATTCCAGGGCTCAACAATAGAGGATTGCCTGAACAACAGCATGATGCTTTGATACCAGCTGACAGAGCTGTCTATTGTCTCATGAGGCCTGTGTTGGATTCTCACTAAGACTTGCATACAAACTCTTTAAAATTTCATAGTACGTTGTCAGTAATACATGATACATTTTGTGAGAGCATCCATGAATTCATAACTGTCAGAGATACATTATAGATGTTTAAGTACCAGCTCTTTTTGAGTAAATATTTTTTAATAATATATTTTTATATTGAATTAATTAAAATTTCTGATGATATGTTTTTGACTGAGTTTGTAATAGACATTATGACATAAAAACTGTAAACAAAACTTAAAATATGTATTTATTTATTTATTAATTATTCATAAAGTCATTATTCTCCAAAAAAAAAGAGAATGTCCTCGTTGTTGAGCCCTACATTTTCTTGCAAACACCTTGTATTTACTCTGAATTACACACCAACCCTCCAAACATGATGCAAATCCTCTGTAAGAATCCCAGTCACCTTACCAGACTGATAACAGTGTGTTAGCGAGGCTGTGTGGCCATTGTCTAAAAGCACAAACATTTCCCATTTAAAACCATTATGCTGCAAACATTTTCAACCACATGAAAATATGCCACATTGTAAAAATGCCTGAGTGTCATGAGGTGCTTTGAAAAGCACATTTTATTATGAGTTATGACATACTTATTTATTCCAAGAATGTTCAATCAAATAAACAGTAGAGACTATGACAGGTGTGATTAAACTATAGATGATTTATTACAATCACAATATTCAATTTAAAATCCCCATGAACTGTAAGTTGCTGACTATTACACTCATCGGCCACTTTATTAGGTACACCTTACTTGCTTACATGCTTTCATGTTGTTGATGCCAAATTCTGACCCTACCATCTGAATGTCGCAGCAGAAATCGAGACTCATCAGACCAGGCCGTATTTTTCCAATCTTCTATTATCCAATTATGGTGAGCCTTTGCAAATTGTAGCTGCAGTTTCCTGTTTTTAGGTGATAAGAGCAGCATTCATTGTGGTCTTCTGCTACTGCAGCTCATCCGCCTCAAGGTTGGATGTGTTGTGCATTCAAAGATCTGAGCTTCTGCATACCTCAGTTGTAACGAGTGGTTATTTGGGTACTGTTGCCTTGCTATCAGCTCAAACCAGTCTGGTCATACTCCTCTGACCTCTGGCATCAGCAAGACATTTGCACCCACAGAACTGCCGCTCACTGGATATTTTCTCTTTTTCAGATCCTTTTCTGTAAACCCTAGAGATGATTGTGCGTGAAAATCCCAGTTGATCAGCAGTTTCTGAAATACTATAATAATAGTATTATAAATATAAAAATAATATATAATATATAAATAATATAAAATAATTATTAAAAATATAATAATATTTGAACTGCAGCAGATCGTCTTGACCATGTCTACATGCCTATATGCATAAAGTTGCTGCCATGTGATGTGGTTAGAAATTTGCGTTAACAAGCAGTTGGACAGGTGTACCTAATAAAGTGGGCGGTCAGTGTATTTCAGTATGCTGATGCATTTACAACTGAAATGGAATATTGCGTAGGCTTTCTTTCTGCATCATTCCCTCATAGCAAACTAAAGGTAAGCGGGGTGTGGTTAAGAATGTTGTGGCTGAAGCCGTCAAACTAACATCAACAAATAAGCACCGCAACTCCAAACATGGACGAAAATTTTTTGACTTTGATTGAAGATTACTAAAACAATTGTGGATTAACTTGTGTCAAACTCCGCTGCAGCTCTGCACAGTTTAACTTAACTCTAACTAAACACACCTGATCAAACTAATTAAGTCATCGCACAGTTGAAGCAGGGTTGGAACTAAACTATGCAGGGCTGCGGCCTTCTTAAAACCAGAGTTTGACACCCCTGACATAAAGAATAACAATGTGTGGTAGCAAAATTAACAATGTACATTTTGATTTCTCACCGACTTTAAACTTCCAAAGTAACTTTTGCTTAATTGAAATAATACATTTTATCAGAAAATACAAATCTCAAAACTGGTCTTACCGGACTGATCATTCATCATGCGGATGGCTTTTGCCTTGGCCAGCTCCAGCGCTGTGACCCATCTCTGCCTTTCCACCTCTGTGCTGGCTTTCAGATGGTAAGTGCGCCCTCCACTGCTCAGAACAATATTGCAGGCATCTTCGGTGTCGATGTGCGCTGTGGCAAGGTTGATAGTGCCGCGACACGTATGGGCCATCTCTGCCTGCGTCCTGCCATGATCAACAGAAAAAAAAGAAACAAAAACAAAACATGAGGGGCACACAGGAAATGAGAAGGAGGTGTTAATACATGATGAAATAATGACAACATGGGAAAGAAAACAAAAATCAAATAATAAGAAGGAGAAAAAAAGAGAAAGTGGTTAAAATGATATATTTCATTAACAATAATTTCCAGTTTTACAAAAGATGTCAAAATACCTTAAATGTAGGTTAGCTTGTGAATGAATGAGGTAAATCAACATTGATCTGTCATGTGTAAGAGACAGAAACCGTGAGCACCTGCGAGCGTTACATTACTACAAAAGCTGCAAACTGAGTGGACAGAGAATGGAGTTTGACATGGCTATTGTGTGTCAGCTGACCAAACAACAACACTCAAACAATCCAGCCAGTGTCAGTCAGAGAGAGAGAACAGTGTGATCTAAACCCTGACAGAGACCAGACAACAGCAAAGCAAACTACTGAGGCCTATCCTAATGGAAACACAGCACACCTTAAGCAAGAAAAAGAGTTTATTTCTTTATGCATTCTTGTCTACAATACCACCAGTGGTGAAAAGAGTACTGAAAAATCATACCTAGGTAAAAGAGCCATTACTAACCTAAAAATGTAGTGCAAGTAAAGGTATTTGTTGTAAATATTACTCAAAGTATGAGTAAAAAGTAGCCCATTCAAAAGTAAGAGTAATGAGTAGTGAGTATTGCTCTGTCAAAAGCTGATGCATTTATATGTTATTTGTGGATATGTGTAAACATAACATTCTGTAGAGCATTTAATTATTGGTCAGAAGGCACACAACATCATAAGACATTAATATTAGGTTAGATTTAGGTTTTGATGTCAGGTGACCAAAATTCAATGTCTAGCCAGCTTCTAAGGACAATGTTATTTTGTCAAATGATGTACACCCAGCTAGCAAAATTCATGTGGCTCAAATCCGGCCCACACCAGACACTAACATCCGGCCCACATACAACATGGAATGATGGCACTTGGGCAGTCCACTCCTGTTTGCCAGATCTGGGCCACAGTTAAGCCATAGCAAAATCACATATCAGTCAGAATTCAACCACATGAACCAGAACCGACCCTATTCTGGGCCACAGATTGCTTTTATTCTGGCCCAGATCCGGCCCACACCAGACACTTACTTCTAGACCACATACTGAATTGAATGATGGCTCTAGGGCAGTCCGCTCCTGTTTTTCAGATCTGGGCCACAAATAAGCCAAAGCAAAACCACGTATTAGTCAGAATTCAACCAAATGAACCAGAACTGACCCTATTCTGGGCCACAATTTGCCTTTATTCTGCCCTAGATCTGGCCCACACCTTACACTTGCTGAGTGTGGCAAAGTACAACAATCCCAGCATGCATTGCAGTATGAATTGATTCTATAGATGCAGTTTTCATTATTTGCTTTTGATTTTGCTGTTTATGTTGACGTTGTTGATTTTGTCACTTTTAGTATCCTGTTTGTCATGTTTGTTCATTTTGTTAATTGTCACCATTGTTGAGGTTCATTTGCTTATTATTGATGTCTCTTGAAGTTGAACCATAACATTTTTTTTAGCTTATAAACCTTCATAATTCTGTGGCATTTGCAAGCATGTTATTAATTTACTTACTTTAAGGAAAGCAGTGGCGTAAAATAACCCAAGTAAGGGAAGGGAAAAGGAACAATACAATTTTTTTTAAACTACTTAGTAAATTACAATTTCTGAGAAAAACTATTCAGTTACAGTAATTTGAGTATTTGTAATTTGTTACTTTACACCACTGAACTCAGAAAGGCTTCATAAGTGTCTCTATATCAAGGGTGGCCAACCGTGTTCCTGGAGAGCCACCTTCCTGCAGATTTCAGTTGCTACCCATATCAAACACACCTGAACCAATTAATTAGGATCTGAACACCACGTGATAATTAAAGGCAGGTGTGTTTCATATGGGTTGCAACTGAAATCTGCAGGAAGGTGGCTCTCCAGGAACAGAGTTGGCCACCCCTGCTCTATATGATCATTAGAAGACCAATTAGCAAACAGATTTCCACTTTAAGAATATCAACATAAATAGGCATTCTGATTACAATAATAATTTCCTTCTTTCTTTAAACATTTTATTAAATACTTGTGTAAAATGGTATAGTTGACAAATAAGAGTCGGTGGATTTGAAATGGCAAACATTGCTTGTCATCTTTCTTGATAAATATGAGCTTATCTATATTACATGTTTTAAAATTTAGTAAAAGGAGTGCTGGACAGAGTAATCACAATTAATCACATCCAAAATAAAAGTTTGTTTAGACATAATATACATCTGTGTATTTTATACATATCCGGTATAAGTGATAGAAACAAAACTATACAAATTCAAAACAAATTATTTTTACATGTACAGTTGAAGTCACAATTATTAGCCCACCTGAATTATTAACCCCCCTGTTTATTTTTTCCCCAATTTATGTTTAATGTAGAGATTTTTTTCAGCACATTTCTAAGTTTCATAACTCATTTCTAAAAGCTGATTTATTTTATCTTTGCCATGATGACAGTAAATAATATTTGACTAGATATTTTTCAAGACACTTTTATACAGCTTAAAGTGACATTTAAAGGCTTAACTAGGTTAATTAGGTTAACTAGGCAGGTTAGGGTAATGAGGCAACTTATTGTATGACAATGGTTTGTTCTGTAAACTATTGAAAAAATGTATAGCTCAAAGGGGCTAATAATTTTGAAAATTTAAAAACTGCTTTTATTCATGCCAAAATAAACCAAATAAGAAAAAATATGATCAGACATACTGTGAAAATGTCCTTGCTCTGTTAAACTTCATTCCGGAAATATTTAAAAAAGAAGAAAAATGTAAAGGGGGGTTAACAATTATGACTTCAACTCTTCATTACATTTTGTTACAATTGATACTTAAATGTGTATATATATATATATAGTATATACATATCTAATAATATCTAAACAAAACAAACATTTTCTCAAATATATTCATGCATGTGTGTATTTGTACATTTATAATACATTTACAAAATGCACAAACAAATTATGTCAAAACAAACTTTTATTTTGCCCTTCCAACTGTAACCCAGTACTGGGAATCACCCATACACTCTCACATTCACACACACTCATAGACTACGACCAATTTAGCTTTCCCAAATCACCTGTACCGCATGTCATTTGACTGTGGGGGAACCCGGAGCACCCGGAGGAAACCCACGCGAGGACAGGGAGAACATGCAAACTTCACACAGAAATGCCAACTGGCCCAGCCCGTACTCAAACTAGAGACCTTTTTGCTGTGAGGTGACAGCGCTAACCACTGAGTAACCACAAAGTAAAGAACAGTAGAATAGAGTTTTTAAACAACGGAAAAAATAGAAGAACACTAGAATAAACTCAAGTGTACTGTCTATCTGTCTGTCCTTGACATAATCGAATCCCAGGGACAGACAGACAGACAGACAGACAGTCTGGGTGAAGGTGGCTGGTCTTTTGTAATATCTGTGTGAAATATCTCAACCCTGAAAGAATCCTGGAGTCTCTTGTGAGTCTGTCACTCGGAGGAGCTCTAATTTAACCAAGCCTAACAAAAGCCTACAGCCTCACAAAACACAGCCTGAGAAAGACAGAGATTCCCCACTCAGCTGCTTATGAAACACTGATTCAAACTCTGTCACCCCACTGTAGCTTTGCTAACCCACAGAAAGAGAAATCCACAAAAGTTGAGCATAAGAGTGACAGTAAGGGAATGAGACAATAAAAAGAAGAAGAGTCAAAGAAAAGCAGAAACCTCTCACTCTCTCTCTCTGTGTGTTTGTGTGTGTTATTGCTCTGGTTACCCAGTATCTGTTGCACATCTCTAGTGGAATGTTAAAGCTCTGACCCTCAAAGAAACTTTAAGCACTACTTGTTCAGAAGCTGTGTCTGAATTTGCATACGACTCTTGTATGTAGTTTGAATTTAAACTTATTTCACAACCATTACAAAAGCATGCTCTATACAGTATGAATGTAAGTAGAATGAATGCATCTGAGACATACTACATCATCACATAACCTACCCTTGTAAATTTGAGTTCCTTCACTCCCATTCATAAATTTTCTTTCATGGCTTCATGTGATAGTACAGTCTCTATTGGATGTTCACAACAGAATCTCACCAGAAATAGTAACTCATAGTTCTGGCCTACTGTTTTTTCAATAATATAAAGAAGTGTGTGTGATTTCGGGCAAACCAAGAGATTTTGTGTTGTTGGAAATTATCGGCTACTTTATTAGGAAAAATGTTTTGAACTCATCATAGCTAATACAAATATCTAATTAGCCAATCAGATGGCAGGACAACACATAAACATGACATCCTTTATTCCCCATACATAAAAATCAAATCTAGTAACATTTTAGCTGATTGTGCAACCTCTCTATCTCTACTGGAGGTGTCAGTGTCAGTATGGTTAAAAAAACACCATAGTTCTTACTATAAATCACTGTAGTATAATTTCATGTGGGTGTCTGACAACTGAAAACAGATCCGACATTAGATAGCGCATGCCTCTGCTACTTTTTACCTTTTACCAACTTTTTTGTTAACATTTATCATTATTTATTTAGAGTAAGCGTTTTTAAATACGGAATCAAATGCCTAAATTATTAATTATAATTAAACGACTGTAATTAAATGAAATATTCTTAAGAATAATATATGTGTTCTTTAAGTGTACATGCATTGTGATGATCAGTGTTTGGGGTAATGCGTGAGTAACATAAAGTAACATGAGTTACGTAATAATATTACAGTTCTACACTGCTTTTCTTAAGATTTTTTTGTTTTCTTTCTTGTCCAAATATCTAAGTCTTATATCAAGAAACATTTTCTAGGCAAGCAAAACATATTGTCTTGTTTTCAGAAATAATATGCCAAAATTAAGGGATTTTTTCCTTAAACAAAAACAAGCAAAATAATCTGTCAATGGGATA